GCTGTTTATTTCCCTCCCAAATCCACAGTGGATTCCTGTAAGTTTTTTATTTCAAATCTTGAAAATGTCGTAACGTCCTTTCCTGACTGTGCGTTTATTGTCTCTGGGGATTTTAATCTTCCTGGGATAAACTGGTCGGATGACCAAAATGGTGTAATTTACTCGACCTCTATCAACTGTCATGCTCGTTGTATCCCTGAAAGTTTTGCTTACCTTAATTTTGTCCAATTGAACGAGGTCAAAAATTACCATGGTTCTGTTTTAGATTTGGTTTTTAGCAACAAAAGTGATATGATTATTATGAGATCTGATGTGTATGTTGTTCCTGAAGATGCTACCGTTACCACCCAGGCTTAGTTTTTGAAACGGTTTTAGCCCCAGTTCCGATTAACCAAGATTTGAACCATCCCTTCTTAAATTTTAAAAGAGCAGATTTCTCCAAAATTGAACAATTTTTATTGTCTTTTAATTTTAGAGACACTATTAGCTCTTTAAATACAAATGAAGCCACTAATGCTTATTATGATGCTCTTCACTTTTGTATTATTAGTTTCATCCCGCAGGTGGTATACACGAAGTCAAAGTATCCTTCTTGGTTTACTAGTGAACTAAAAAAATTGACATTTCAAAAAAGGAAAGCACATGGCACCTACAGGGCTTCGATGTCCTCTATTGACTACTCCACTTTTTCTCTGCTCCGATCGAAGTTTAAATTTCTCTCTAAGAAATGTTAAGTGAACTATATTAAACGAATAGAAGCATCTATCTGTACTAATCCCAAATCCTTTTGGGATTTTGTGTGGAAAAATAAAAAAGGTTCCAACATCAATTCACTTGTAAAATTGAATGGTGTTTCCCAGTGTTGATAAAACTACCGTGTATGAACTTTTCTCAAAGCATTTTAGCTCCGTTTTTTCACCTAATAATTTAAATGTTGAACTCAGTAGTATTAGTGGTCTACCATATGAGCTTCCTTCAACTTGCAACATTACCCTAAGTGACGTTGGGTCTATACTCTATTCGCCGTAAGATGACCCACTTGCGCGCATGCATACTGAGCCGCCGGAACGTTCAGAACCCCCGCGTTGTAGACCGGTGGTCTGTGTTGTATTCGGCAACCGACGGTGCTCGTCGTAGTAGGCAGCTGCCACCGTGCATACAGAATGTTTTACAAAATAATTGTTACTAATTAATCTATTAATCTATTGCGCACGTTCGCGGAGATAGTGTCGACTGTCGATAGTCGATACGTCGTTAAGATAATCAAATCACTACGTATACGCCAGGTGCGGTAGCGATGATCAACACTAGCGCTCCGAAGACGCGGTGGCCTGCGGAGCAACGACCGGTTTTCGTCGAGCGAGTGGGTCAACTTACGGCGAATAGAGTATAGTCTAGCCCAGGGGTTTTCAACCTGTGCGTCGCGGCTCCCAGGGGCGTCGCCGGTTATTATCAAGGGAGCCGCGTTCGCAATAGAAACTAAAAATAAAATTTCGGCGCACCAATACGTATTACATGTTGCATGTGTGAGATAACCGTCGATAACCGTGTTTGCGATATCGAGTAATAGCATATTTCGATTACTATTTACAATTAGGTAGGTACTTAATGATTTGCCTCTAATAGTCTAATATAATCTATCAGTTGTAAAACGCACACCGCTGTCGCCTGTCTGTTTTGTATTCAGTGTGTTATATGCGCTACGGCTACGTATATCGACCGATATTTATTACGATCTTTTTTTGTTCTGTGTTATTTGTTGTGTATTTTTTCTGTAATAATAGTAGTTATAACTATGGATAAGTTTTTGAATTCTAGTAGAAAACGTGATAATCCAGAAGTAATTTCAAATATTGAAAAGAAACAAAAAATCAGAAAATATGATGATTGTTATTTGAATTTCGGATTTACTAGCACTGTTGTTGCAAACGTAGAACATCCCCAGTGTGTTGTTTGTTTGAAAGTAATGGCTGTAGAAAGTATGCTTCCAAATAAAATGAAACGCCATTTGGAGACAGTTCATGGAAATTTGGTGAACAAACCACGTGATTATTTCGTATCAAAATTAAAAGCTATGGCTCAACAAAAACATATTTTTACAAAACAAGCTACAATTCCTTCTAAAGCACTACTTTCTTCCTATAAAGTAGCTTGGCGAATAGCAAAGAGTAAAAAACCTCATACTATCCCATTAAAAATTAAAATTATTATTAATGTATTAATTTTTTAATTGTATGTAAAAAAATGTTTCCTATTATTAATACCTAATTACATGTTTATCATTAAATAAAGTTAGATTAAAATTATTATAAGTAATGTAAATTTGTTTATTTTAAATGTTCGTATGGGAGCCGTATATTTTATTTCAAAATCAAAAGGAGCCGTGGACCCAAAAAGGTTGACAACCACTGGTCTAGCCAAATTACGTCTCACTAATTTAGTTGGATAGAGCTTGGAGACAAAACATTTGCAAAATAACTGGACCGACACGCAAGGAAAAACAAGGGACTATATATAAATCACTAAAAGTTCAGTCAATGTGTGATGAAAATAAATTTAATAATGCTTTAAAAGAATTTAACCAGGAAGCTAATAAATGATCCAGACACTAAAGACTTTGGTAAATATTTTGATCGCATGTATGGAAATGGAGTTAGTTCGTGGGCGTATTGTCATCGGAAAGGTCTAGGTGTAAATTGTAATATGCATCTAGAATCTATGCTTAAAACAATAAAATATCATTATTTAAACGGATCCAAAGTTGGGCGGTTAGACAAAAGTATAACAACTATTAGAAGATATACCCGCGATAAAAAAGTTGAAAGAATAATTAACCCTTTGTAGACTGGCGGGACTTTAAAGTTATTGACTTTAAAATTATATAAAATAGTACATTCATTTTATAACGTTGGTAACACCTGTCGGGACTTTTCAGTCCCATATATAATCAAAAAAAAAATAATACTATTATCACAATCATACGTTATCAGTGTTTTTATCTGTGTCGAAAATTTCAATTACGCGTTCACGTGTGTATGGTAAAGTGCTGACGAAAATCACAACTGGAAATTAATTTTGAAGGTAATGATGCACTTTTTTTACTTATTATTGTGTAATAATATATAAGGAATGTATAAAAACATTTTATACTTGTAATTTTAACTTTTTATACATATTAGATTGTATTTTGTTGGTGGGACTTGAATGGCCCGTCAGTCATTTAGATTTTTGCATAAAAGATCTGTCGAAATAAAATACATTGATTTTCGAAACTGTTTTGTTTCTAACATGCAAAGAAGATGAAACCGACTACTATTGAAGAAATAGAATGCATGCTAGAAGAAATTCCCGATGATGCTGCATATAACTCTGACATTGAAGATTGTTCAGTTGATGATGAATTTGACCCATCACATAATGTTACTTCATTTGTTGATTTTGATATTGAAAATATGGGTATGCTCTCAAGTATAAAATTAGTTTGATTTATTATAATATTATATATATTTTTTAGAAATCGTATGTGTTAATGAATTGGGAGTTTTGGAAAGCTCAACTGATTTTTAGCTACTAACAACATCTAAAGAAGATTCTGAAAAAAATGTCAATAATATTGGTATGTTGTAATTAATTATAAAATAAATTAATTTTATTTAATTATATATTTGTTTTTAGACATATTGAATGTTGACTTGGGAAATGTGAGTACACAAATTAAAAAAAATCAAAAGGCTGGACAAATTTAAAAAAAAAGTTAGTTCAACTGCAATAACACTCAGGGAAGTAAATTCTGATTCAGCTGTTGAGGACCATGCATTCAGTCCTGTGTGGAAAAGAAAATTTAACATTCCTACGTCAAGGCCTGAGTACAATCTACGAACAGGAGCTAACGAAAGTTCATTTTTGAACTGTAATACTCCAACTTATGTCTTTTTAGTGTTCATAGATTGTATTTTAGAGGACATAGTATATCAGACAAATCTTTATGGAACACAAAATGGTAAAAACTTGAATATTAAAAATGAAAATATGCTAGCATTTATTGGTATAAATTTTATTATGGGATACAATCGCTTACCTTCGTGGAAAGACCCAGTGGAATCAATGCCCAGTGCTTTATTTGATAAGATTCTTGTAAATCTACATTGTAATGACAACTCGGCTCTACCACATAACAATAAAGATAAAGTATTCAAATTAAGGCCAATGATAGACAAAATGAATTCCGTTTTCAAACACCATTATTTTGGGACAAGGGAAGTGAGTGTAGACGAAAGCGTGATCAAGTTTAAAGGTAGATCGTCACTAAAACAGTACAACCCAATGAAACCAATTAAAAGAGGATATAAACTGTGGTGCCTAGCTTACCAAAAAGGTTATATTATGAATTTTAAAGTCTATCAAGGCAAAGAAGAATTAGTGAATTCTAGTTTTGAAAAATATGGA